TGGAATGGTAAATTCTAGATCTATGTCCTATGAAAAAGAAACATAGATGCCAATCTTCATCCAATATAACCCAATCTAAGTATTGAAAGAGAATGGTGAGTCTAATTATTCACCTTTAATATGTCAGAAAAAAATGGTATAATTTAGATTTATGGCATTGAAACCCCAGTCATTTGGGACTAAAAAACCATGAAAAAAAAATAGAGGCTTTGTCTCTAACAAAACCTGAGAAGTATAATATTTGCTCCCCCAACTTGCAGCTCTGTAAAGGAACAGCTTGATAATAGTGAGAAAAGTACCAGAATAAGATTTACATGTTCTAAGTTCTAAGTGTGGTTCTTTTATTCACTGGTTGTTTAATTTTAGACAAAACACTCACCTTTCCCAAGTCCTGATTTTTTGCCTGTACCATGAAGATGATAATTTCTTTTCTGACAAAAACAGCATTTCATGAAGAGTCAAAGAACTAATATGCATCAATGTGTTTTATAAGCTGTAACACATTAGGAAGTGGTGTTGTCTTGCCTCTTGGACCACAGAAATTTTGAAAGCTATTATTTGGAAAAGAAGAGCCTTTGAGACGCGTGCATACTGACATCAGAAGTCACAGGTGAGAACCTGACCCCAGAGTGGAAACCAAAGCACAATTGACAGCCGTAACGATGATAGAGTTATCAATAGGAATGTGAGTCATAATTTAGAATATTGTTTTTAAAACCCTACAAATTAGCAGTATCATTTACAATGCTGTTTCAGTGGTTCAGTTTGTCCATATTTTTGGACAAAAAAAGAGGTGAAAATGGATACAAATGGCCCATATCAATTCTAAATGTCTTATAAATAGTGGTACCAATTGCTTTGGATCCCCAGCTGTCTGTTCAGTGATGAAAATCCAGATATTCCACTGCCTTTATTTGTGCACTAGGCACAAAGTAAAAATTTCTCTCTCTCAGGAGAGGCAATGTAGCTCAGCGGAAGAGTTCTAGCACCTGTGAGGCCCTAGGTTTAACCCCAGTACCACACACACATACATACACGCACATGCACATTATATATAGTATATAATCCTTCAAAATATATATATTTGTGTGTGTATATATATACATATATATAATACCTTTTTATACATATAGTCTCTCAAACTCTTAAATTAATCAAAAATTTTAATTATATTTTTTACTCAAATATTTTCCTTAAAAATGTTTTATACTCTACACACCAAGTTGTTCAACCTCTTTTGACTTCTTGAGTCTTATTTGCCATCAGCTTCCTCTCCTTTCTGGACCTATTCTCGGCACAGCTATTCCCTTTGTATACTTTGTTCCAACAACATCTGTGAGCAGTGAGCTCCAACATTCACAGATAGGACCCCTGTAGTGAATATGAAATGATTTTTCAAAAATTTGACACCTATTCCATCAAAAGGGAGAGTCCAATTGCTCCCTTTGAACAGAGACCAATCAATGTGAAAAACTATAATGGGCCTGAGAGTGTATTCTACCTTCAAGTCAATGAGTTGGCCTGTCACAGTTTCAGAAATGTTTGCAGAAGAAATGAGACTCCTGGGTCAGAAAAGAACCTGATTACTCACAACAATAGTAATAGCCAGAGTACCAGCATTTTCTTGTTCCCTAATTTGCTGGGTTCAAATTTCCCCAGGGAAGCACAAAGAGAGCCAGATGACAGATGCACACACGGGAGAGAAATCTGAGCTTACGGAACCCCCAAATCTTGCAAAGATCAGTAAGTTCATCATCTTCTTTCCCTTTGGAGGGAGTCATTATTTTTTATTATAGTGGGTAGTAAGTATGACTGCCCATTTTTCTAGAGGGCACTCTATATTACAATTCTGTCAATTATTTGAACATCCTTTAAAAAGATCACCTGGACCAAAGGCAGTCAGTGTCTCTATTCACAAGACAGCAGGAAGCACAAGAGATGTATGGAGATCATCTCCCCATACTCTCCAGAATAATGATGGGTGACTTCTGAGATGGAGAGTTTCTTTTCACAGGCCTGGTAGGGATCTAACTGCTAGATATGCAAGTTAGTCTTCAGTTGGGTTCAGCTCCCAGGTTTCAGGCCATTCTGATTAACAGGTAGATAAGCAGCCCCACCAAGCCATGCTCAAATTACACACTAATGAGCTAGCAAAAAATATTTTTTTAAGCCATTGTGTTTGGAGGCAGTTTTTTATACAGCAACAAGTAAACAGAACAAACTGTTTATATCTATACAGGTCTGTAAAGGCAAAACTTCCATTAGATTTTCCCCAGCCCTGGGACTAGAATCCATACTCAAAGAGTTTGAATAAATCTGGTTACTATATCTGTACCAAAAGGAAAAAAGAAAGGAGGAGGAAAGAGGAAAAATAGAGAAAGAAAAGTCAGTGAGGAAGTTGTAACTCCAATGGAAAACACTACCATCAAGATTCAAAGGGATTGTAGTAAGTAGAAACTGTTACCCACTCAGTCTCTCCCTGCGTGATCATTCCTCTACAGGGGAAAAAAAAAACAAAACATGTATTTGGTATTTGGTAATGAATTTTCTGCATAGTTCAGTCTTCCCTAATGCACGTCTCCTTGCCATAATTCAAACAACCATAAAGAAGTTCAAGAAACTTCATGTAGTTTTATGTTTGTTATTAAAACTATTTTTAAGATGTTGGGTCTACACAATGTAGTTTTTAAAAAAATAACCACTTGGGGACCAATTCTGCTCAGAATCTACCAAATGAGGTAGCAGTATCCCCCAGCTTAGACCTAGCATTTTCTGATGTCACTTCTACTTGGAGGAGAAAACATCTGTACACCTTGAGCCTGTTGAAAGTTAACGTGAGGGTGTTGAGTTGTACCAATTTTAATTTTAATTTCCCAGGTCTTTGTTTATGATTCTATCCCAGCAAAGACAATCAATTCATGTTCCCTGAAGATAGTCATCTTTAACTGTTCTTATTGAATTAGCTTCACTAATGAAGTGTTTGTTGAATCTTCTTGGTTATAAATTGACTTGATCTGACCATTCCTGGTTCTCAAAACTGTATGCCAAAGCACTTGCTTTTGATAAAACTCTTCCAAGTCTGAACATATATAGAAAGCATATCTTCTTTTTGCTGCCTTATACTGATTAGCTCAACATCATTAGCCTGGTGATGTCTCTACCCCACTGTGTTTTTCTTTGGGGGCTGCCAGGGATCCTGTCTCAGAGGTAGATGTTTTGAGAAATTTCCTTTTAATGTTCATTCCAAATACTATGTCTTGAAACCCTACAATTAATCTCCAGCGCTTCTTACTCCACAAGTCTGGTTATCTCTGTAATATTCCAAGGACTTGATTGAACCAGGATTCAAAGGATGATACTATACTCCCTAAGAATATCTTCAGTCCTTTGTAGACTGTGACCTAAACCAGATATTTTGAAAGGCTGTTATAAAATTTTATCCCAATCTTCAGATGACGTGGATTCAGTTGGTAAAGTAACACAGACACACACCAAAGTTTATTGGGACACAATGACACCCAATCCTTTATGTATCACCCATGCTGTTTCTGTGCTACAACCGCAGGATTATCAGGACAGCGACCACATGGCCCCAGAGGCATAAAGAGAAAAGGCTTGCCAAACCCTACTTCCATTGCTATTACACATATTTTCATGTACTTTTAATCTTTTTTCTTCTGTGCCCTTCAATTTACATATTTTCTATTGGTCTTTCACTAATACTCTCATCTTTTTTTATGCTATATATAATTTTCTGTTAAACCCATTAATTGAGTCCCTAAATTTGGGTATTATATTTTTCACATTTAGAATTCTATATAATTCTTTTTTATAATTTTTTTTATTTCTGTTGAATTTCTGCATTTTATAATTCATATGCAAAACACTTTAAGTACACTTAAAGTTCATGTTTCGTAGGCCAATATGTACAGCACTGTGGAAATATTTATTTTTCCAGGTTTTTTCCTGTTTTTTTATTTATTTTTCTTTGCCTGACTCATGGTAGTCCTTTTTTGAATACCAGATAACAATGGTTGAAAAAGTGCAGAGAAATCCTGAAGCATTGTCTGTGCTTATCTTCATCCGCAGATGAGTTTCTTTCTAGTTGGCAGTTAGAGTGAGACAGATGACCATCATCCAGAATAGTCTTGAGCTGGTTGGAAACTGGATTTCAGTAGTTCATAGGGTTGGTCCATGGCCAGGTCTTCCTTCTCTTCTGATATAGTTCCTCCAACATCCTAACTGGATGCCTAGAGTAAAAACACATCTTTTTTCATGTGTCCTGGACTCCAGTTGTAGTCTGCCTGCCCCATGTAGCTACTTGTAATTAATTACTGCTTGTTTTTTTCAGTCTCTCAGCAGCCACTTCTGGATTAGCTCTGCAATCTGGCCACAGAGGAAAAGAGTGCATAATGTTAGGTGTCTCTAGTGAGCACCTCTTCTCTCTGGGACCCTCTCAAGTCCTGGCTGACTTAATAGCTTTCTGGAGACTTCCAACACATTTTTTTTTTTTAATTGTCTGTACATACCATGAACACTATTCGAGTTATTCTCATAATGGAGCATTGTCTACAAGAAACCATTCAACCATTACCTCTCTATTATTTGTAATAGTTGTTTTCCTGTGTTGTGTATTTCAGTGGATTTAGGGCCATAGGTTTCTGTCTTTGGCCACCTGCACTGGAAGAAAATCACATTAGGGTAGAATTTTTCTCTACGACTTTGTTTTTTGTGTTGGTTGCCTGTGGGGGACATCTGCTTTGGAAGGAAGCCACACCACACAGTTTGTTGATTTGTTTTAGCTTGTAAGGAATCCCTGTTGCACTGAATTTGTTTGTTTTGGCTACCTGCCCCACTGCCTGCCTTTACCTTGCCAAATTAGGGGTTTTATATAGGGTTCTTCTGAGATTCCTTCATTTATATCCCCAACATCTTTTTCCCATTCTGAAGAATTGTGAGTCAGTTAGATGTGTGTGCTTCTATAGTGAACCACATATCCTATATTATTACAAAATTCCTCAAAGCTCATGGCATGTATATACCAATTTTCCTGATTTCCATTGCTGGTTCAGCTTTCCTTCAAATATCTGCATAGTTTTCTTCTTGAAAAACTATACATCTTTGATCAAATGTCATCTTCTAAACAAAGCTCTCTCTGTTCATTTCATTTAAAATAGTAAACACTTTCCCACATGCAACCAATCTCTTACCTTATTTATTTTAGCATTTACAATCTCTGATATACTATACATCTCTCCTACTCCATTTTCTATATGACCAGTACCTGGAAGATTACTGGGAACACAGTAGATACTTATTACACTTTTGTTAAATGAATAAAGAGAAATAACTAAAAATTTAATTGCATGTATTACAAACTGCTGGATGAGAAACTCAATGAGAAAAATAATGTAGTTGATCTCAGGGATCATTGCTCTTTCATTGCCTGATGTTCAGTATCTTGAGAACTGGTGTTTTATTTATGTTATCCATTTTATAATTGCCTCAAATCAGAGAGTAAAATGACTTTCTGTTACTTCGTCTTGGCCAAAAGAAGTTCATACCTTAACTTTTATTTATGTGTTATGTGTGTGTCTCTCTAAGAGAAAATAATTTTCATAAAGTTAGGGGATTTTTCTGTTTGGTGTAATGCTGATTTCTTAGGACATGAAATGCTTTCTGCATGTAGCAGATACTCTACAAATAGTAGATGAATGAAATATGTAAATGTTTTTTATTATTTCACTTTTAAAAGTTAATTATGACTTAATATTCAATATATTTCCTATTATATCCCAAATATGACATTTTATGGGTTTTTCTAGATTCACTCTTCCATCAGTATCTGTCATAATTTATTTTCACATATATTCTCTGTAACCTGTTTTTGTTGAATGTCTAGTTATCTGACCACTGGGAACTGTTTTCTATGGTGCACAGAGCATATGATAGATGTTTTGAATCTAATTTACGTGTTAATATAATAATGACATGTGACAGCAATGACTTTATTGCTATTACCCTCTTTCTCCTGGTCTAGGTTATTAAAAGGGAGTTTAAAAACAACTTTATTTCTATTCTATTGCCAATATCTTAGAGCCTTTGCTGTATAATCTTCATTCGAAGAAATACATGTTGATAACACAATACTATGGAATGGAAGAGAGAAGAATCAATTACTCCGTTCTAAAAAAAGTCTAACATGCCTTATTGCTATTGACTAATACAGCTGAACACAAAATATAAAATGTAGACAACAATCACTTCGTTTGCAAAGTTCATTGTAATCTCTACACTTGGAAACCTCATTAACGTGGTTTCAGCATGTTCATAAGAGTTTGTTTAAATAGCATTATAATTTTGCTTTTCTGTAGATGCCCTAGATAAATTAAGTGACTTTCTAATTGTCAAACATTAAGCATTATTGCTAGAAAAAAATATTCATAGAAATCCAAGAATCAGAAAGTCTTTAACACCCACTAAATTTGCAGACATTTATTCAGCTGAATGTTGATTTGTGGCAAGGGGGGTGGGGAACCCATAGTCTTAATAATTCATTAACTCAGCACTTTGCTACACACAAGAATTATATTTGATGAAGGAATTTTCTTGACCCAAGGGAATGCAAACTTGAAGGTTGAGTAGCTTATTTGGAATGGGAACTCCCTGAATGGAACATTAGACATATGCTTTGGGGTTTGGAAGACACAAAGCTTGTAAAGCTATTAAAGTCATGCCTGGAGTCTCTTGAAATGCATGGCTAGTCTTTATTTTCAGAAACTGTATTGCTTATTTGTCTTTTTTCAGATATAATGTTAGCAATTCTTTCATTCTTTGGGTGCTAAGGTCTGTATTTAGTGGCAGCAATTAAGGAGTGAGCTATTTTATCTCCTTCATGGGAGATAAAATCACAGGAGGAGAGAGCAATGGAAAACTGGAAGCTAGGACTCTCATTGATTTAGGAGGGGACATAGACGGCAAATGGAACCAATCATGAACAGCGTGCCTTCGAGGAAGAGCATGAACACATTCTGCAGCCTAGAGGAGGAAACTCAGCCTCACACAATTTGTCTATTTTGCTCTGCTTTACAGATTCATTTCCGTAATATGCTTAAATAGATGATGATGGACTCTTAGGCATTTAGTGATAATTTAGTTACCAATTTCTACCTCTTAAATTACCCCTGAAAAATAATTAAAGAGTTAAAGTTTATTTAGACACAACAGGACCTCAGAAATGTCTGGAGTGCATTCACTTTACATAAGGATGAGAGGGAAAATATAAGGCCCAAGTTCATAGGGTTTACAAGCATGAAGAATTTATGTGTATCATCTCGTTTAATTGTCTTCACATTTCCATGAGGTAGTCAGAGAATTGTCCTAATTTCCATTTAACTGAAGACAAATGTTGAGTTTCAGATATTCCAGTGCCCAACATGAGCAGAA